CCTGCTGAAATCTGGTTAGCTGCTAGGTCCTCAGTGAATTTTTTTGGAGTAGTAGTAGTAGTTTTAAGGTGTGGTAATGCTTTTTTTTATTACTGGGTTCAGAAAAGGAGTATTAATTGTATCTGGCAAAGGCGAAAACTAGGGCAATAGAGGTGGCTCCCTGTTTTAAACAAAACAGAACGGAGCTTTAAGGGTTCTACTCCAAAAAGAAAAGAACTACTCCTAGTAGTGCTCAGAGGCCAGATGCTCAATTCTTGGTCCAATTCTGTGTTAAGGCTGGTGTACTATAAAGCGATGCCATAGTGTTACCTCTCCATTGACCCTTACTGAAGTCTTCCAGATGGGTACTAATTCTTTTGGCTTGCCAAAACATGAGACAAAGTCTCCACAACGTGGACCCAGGAGCAGAGGAGGTGTTAGCCCCCAGTTGGTCAAATCAGCAAAGGCAGCACTGAGGCTGGATTAGGGCTCTTCTAGTTTGCCCCACCTATGTGTAGCTCTAAAGTGTGCCCCGTTAACCTGAGCACAGCCACGCAGTACAGAGTAGAGAACCGAGGGCCAGTCTCGGGATCTAGCAACTTCCAGGGAATTATGGCACATACAAACCCCACAAAATTAGCACCGAATGAATGTTGAATGAAATGATCAATTAGTAAGACTTTTAATTTCTGAGGTTAATTAAACCTGTTCATCCAAGCTCACTAAAATCTAGGTTCCAGCATTTTTCTGGATATCACACAGAGAAATACAACCATTTCAAGTTTCCCACAGAATAACATAAATTTGCTACAATAATGATGCTCAATAAAATTAGCATAATTAGTCTTTTTATGAGCTGCATTCTAACAATTCCTAGCGATAATTTTTGCAGCTTCAAGAGAAATAAATTTCCACTGATAAATATCCTGAATTATTTATGTTAATGTCAAGAGCTATGAAAATGGCTACAAAGGATTTAAAAATAAATTTGGGCATAAGATCCATTTTACAGTGGTTCATGCATATTTAAATTTACAGACACAGTAGTTCCAGGCCCTATTGGGTTTAAATGGAGCTTTAGAAGGTCTAGATAAAATTATTTTTAAAATTCCCAAATTGTGAATGAAGTGTAAGTAATGGGACGCCAGAGCTAAATTCTTTGTGTTAGTGGAAGGCATGGACATTTGCCAGTTAATACATACACAATGCAGTAAACAATTCCGTTAATCCATTCCCTACCAGGATCTCTCGACATTATCTTACATGTAATAATATGGTGAGGTTTTCACCATATAAGAAAATGTATTGCTAAAGTGGAAAGATTAGTTTTAGGGACAGCTTCAGAACAGAAATTTAATGAATGTTACATATGCCCCATGGCTGCTTTCCTATTCCCTTACTTGAAGGTTCCCTTCACATACTTACATTTTACCTGTTACCTAATGGATTAGCCTAGATGGTGAACTTAAGTTTCTTCCACAATTTCTGGTTTGTAGCACTTCAGAAGTTCACTCTATTTAGTGTAGCTGCAGCACTACTCTTTTATGAACAAAGCGCTCTTTCTTACTTCACACTTAAGGAAGAAATACTTCATATTTTCACATAAGGCAAAATATATATGCTATATAAAATATCAAAAATAGACTGGCTAATCGGCTTCCACTGATTCTGAGAGAAGCATAGGGTTGAAACCTTCTAAAAATTCAAACTTGCAGCTGCATTAAAAATACTATTTAAATAAATACATAATGTGCATATATTTGCAGTCCTGTCTAGTTTTCCAGTTTAGGATGATCACCCATCTTATACCATCTTACTGGATAAACTTACTCCTTCATAAAAAGTCAAAGAGTTAGTGATCCCTGAATTCCCCCTTTACATGGGGGCATAGGCCTTAAGCAGACCTTCAATGCAGGAATAATTCTGATTTCAGCAGCACATGGAAGGGCCCTAAAATGTCATGAGATCTCCCATATCTAGTTTAGAGAGCTTATTTATAATTTAAAGTATAAATATCAAAATACCTTTGAGCTAAAAACAGGAGAGAAGGCAGAGAGCAGGATGTCAGAGCATTGGCCTGATTTTATATCTGCATCTCAGAAACTAACCAAATTCTTTCCAGAAGAAAATTTCATGTCTGTTTTCAGATCAGATTCAGCAGTTTCAAGGAGAAAAAAAATGGAATAAAATAAAACCCACAAAACCCAAATTCACTACATGATATAAACTAAATACAAATTGGTTTGTAAGGAGTTACTGTCATTATGTTATAACATCCCTGTGTAACATTAATTTTTAACTTTTAAGTTGTGTTGGCTTAGAGGTAACTAAGGTCTCCTTTTACTTTCCATATTTGCTTATGGCTGCTGAGCGTACATCCTAGGGCCAGAA